TCAGTCAAAGCTTAACTTTTCTAGCAGCAGTATGTATGATTAACATTGAAATTTTAAAGACTTCCATGCCAGGATATTTCTGCCAAAACTATTCAACGATTCTTCCTGGGCTAAACTGCATCCCCCCAGACTTACCAACCTTTTAAAACCTTTCAATTGTCCTCATGAAAGTTCACCAAAAAGCAATCCTTGCGTAGAATGTGTTTAAAATCCTGGCTTGCATCACTTTAAGTTTGCAATATCACCAACAGTGTTACATTCAAAATATTCTAGGACTTATTTTATGAAGTGATAAATCTAAAGTAAAGCCAGGTATAATAAAAAAATTGAATAAAAATCTTTGGGTGTATTCAACATTTTTTGAGAAAACTGGTATACACTATTAGAAACTTGATCTAAGTTAATTTTTTTCTTTGCAGCCCTTATGGAAGTTATTAGCAGACATGGTATGTAGATAGATTTCATAGAACATATCTTGTTTGTTGGTTTATGAAATTGAAACAGTATGGTCATTTTGACATTAAGATTTGGATATTCTCATAAAAACTAACACTTAGTAAAATAGAAATGAAATACACAAAGAAAATGATTTCAAAATTAATTGAATAATAATTTTGAAATCATTTTTTTTTATTCCTTTTTTTCAGACACCTGAAGAATTAGTTTCAGTGATAGATTTTCGATACATGTAAGTTGTACATGAGTTGAAAAGATCATGTAAAACTAAATGGTATGTTGTGTTTCTCATTTGTCTTTAAATGTGAATCAGTATAGTTCTTTTTCTTAGTGTATTTTCCTTGCTGGATGTTTTAAACTTAAACTTAAGAAGTAATTATGTGCCTATGCTTTAATGATGTGGATGTGTGTTTTTTTTATTGCTGAGTGCTAAGTAACTAGATGTTTTTAACTTTTAAGGGCAGTAAGAGGTTTTTAAATGTTTTACCCTTTAACTGTTTGTTGTTTTAACTTTAAAATTTAATTCTAATTATTTTTTTCATAAACTGTCTGTAATCCATTTATATTCACATCTCAAACTTGGTGGCCTTTATTATTATTATTATTATTATCATTATTATTATTATTATTATTATTATTATTATTACCAGGGTTTTTTTACTTTTATTATTATTTTATTATTTTACTTTTATATCATTTTCAAGAGCTTGGACAGAAAAGAAATTCTGATGTACTGGTATATTTTGCATTTATGTGTTAGCTGAATAATAATAATAATAATAATAATAATAATAATAATAATAATAATAATAATTATAAATGTTATTGTTATATTAGCTGCTGTGTTATATTTGAGTTTATCACTATATTTATGATGTCTGAATTGCAATTTCAGATCAGATTTGCTGACCCGAGAGGAAGCCCTTGGTATGATTTTTGTTTTGCTTGCCCATACATTGCAATTTAAAAAATTGTGTTTTTAAAAGATTTTTAAGAGTGCCATATACATATATGTATTTTTTTAAAACAGTCTTCCTTTGTTTGATGTATGTGTTAAAAATGTCATGTCTTTGCAGAGATATTGAAGAAAGGCCAAGATGGCAAAAAAGAAAGAGGTAATGTAAGAGTTGAAGAATTACGTGTAGTGTTGCATGTGTACATTTTTTGTTGAAATTGAAGATTTTAAGGTTTAAGATTAATCTGTATCAGCTCACTTTATTTTTTATAGGTTTACTACCCCCCCTTATGAAGATATCTGTATATATATAAACCACACATCTTTTACTGTTTAATATCTGTTAGTTTGTCTTAAATTAGACCAATTGTTCCTCTGCTTCGTTAGCCTGCTCATCTTTTTGAATTTCTGATGATAATATTTAGTGTAATTTGAATGAAGGAGAGACTAAAAAGAAAGGGTTATTTTCTTTTGATGTTGTTTTAGAAGCAGAGCTGATATCTAAGGGATACCCTGCTTACATCACCTCTGCTGGATGGTCTGGTTATGATGAACAAAAAACTAGACAGGTAGAAATGGATATCAGTGTTTGTGAATAAAATGTTAGTATTGCATTTCAATATTGCACAATTATGAAAGCAGGAGTATTTTATATGAATCAGAGTTTGTTTTGATTGTAAGTTTTGATATTGTATAAAATGTGAAGAAAATATTTTATGTGAAGAAAATTTTTTATTTGTAGAAATGCAAAGAGGCCCTTGCAAAAGGATTTGTCAGGTAAGAAAATTCATTACACTATTGTACTATTTTATAAGATATATCTCAACAGACATTATCTTGAAAAAATGTACATGTATATGTGAACAATCATTCTGTCTCCTCACAACTAATTTTAAGTGGAATAATTTTTCACCTGTAGATTCAAGGCCAAAGTTGGCACTGGAATTGAGGCTGACAGAAGGAGATTGGCTGTGATGAGAGAAGAGATAGGATATGACAAGTTACTTGTGAGTAAAATCCACAAAATGAAACTACAGTTTAGATTTTTCTCATTAGTAATGTTGTTGATTGCTATGAAATAATGAAGCAAAATCAGAGGTAGTCAAATTAAATAAAAAATGCCAAGTGATATAAAAAGGAAGACAATTATGGATCATGTTTCAGATCAATACTTACTGTAATAAAATAGTGAAAGATTGATTTTTCTTGAATTAAATTACCAATATCTTGGTGTAAAAGTTAAGATTTTGCTTGCAGGGATTTCACTGTCCCTGATGAGGACGTTTTTATTTCTTGTGTGCCATTTCAATCTCTCTTCCAGCTCTCTTAATTTTGTCATTAAGTTTTCCCTTTGCTTCACTGTTTGTTTGCACTTCTGTTTCTAGCCGTTCAATCCGCTGTGTTAGTTGATCAAATTTTCAGGCCTACCCAACTACCAGACTCAGCACCGAATGATCCTGAATTCACCGGTAGATCAGACCACGCTACCCGTTTTCAAGGTGTGTGTCAGATCGCATTACACAGTATCATACCCTGAACAAATTTTGAGTGGTGATGCAATGCTTCTCAACATTGCGTACTAGGCAAGAGCGGTGTCGTGTCTGATACTGTGATCTGACACACATTGAAAATGGGTAGTGTGGTCTGATCTACCGGTGAATTCAGCATCATTCGGTGCCAAGTCTGGTAGTTGGGTAGGCCTGATTTTGGCTGATATTTCTCCTCGAGATCTTCCATCCTTTCTCCTTTTTCATTGTCGTCTGCATCATCTCTTTCCTTATCATACCCATTCAGAATGCTCTTGACTATTAAAGTATATTAAGTTTTTCTAGTTTCTGTTCTTTAATTTTCTTTAATTCACTTTTCACATCTTAAATGTCTTCTTATTAACTGAATATTTTCAGCAATGTCACTTGAGTATATCTCCTCTACACCCTCCTCTTGTTCCTCCATAGGTCTATTCTTACTAGCTGATCTTTTACATTTAATGGACACCATATTAAATTCAGTTATTTCATTGCTTACGTAGTTCCTTTATCCCAGGGTGTTCAGACCAGGTAGCCAGTTTCTGTCATGTCAAATGCACTGTACAGGTACAGGTGAGTACTAGTACTCAGTGTAAATTTACCTGTATGTGAGTACCCCAAGGTAGATGACTATTTTAATATTTTAATATTATAATGACACTACCATTAAAATGGTAGTGTCATTATAATAAGTTTCCTATTGTCTAGATAGTCTTACTTGATTTCTTGAGAAGTCTTTGTGGCCATTATATCATAGTCCATATTCTCAAATCTTGAGGAGAAAGGAGTTATTGAAAAATGCATTTTCTCTCAATACATCTACTCTTCTGGTTGTTTGTTGTTTCTCCTTGGTCACAACTATCTTATCAACTTGCCAGTCCACTACAATTCTCAAAAACAAGATTCATGTCCTACAAGAGAGTACTTTATATACAGGCTTAAGAAAACAGTACGATACCAAACATACAATGACCATAACAGATGCTATACTTAATTGCAAAACAGTGACTTTATAATAAGATTGGCAGCTTACTTATATCATTGTAACAAAATGAGAAAATGATATAACAAGACCATTGAATCAGTGGACTTAATGTATATCTTTACTTTCATATTTATATTAAGAACATTTGTTACTTTTATTGCATTTTCATCCTATAAAATAATGTGTTGAACTATGTACTCTGGGTCTGAAGGCCTAAAATATGAAATAGATAAAACTTGAAAAAATAAAAAAAATCTTGAACACTTGTATAAAAGTAAAGACAAATTTGCATGGTTTAAAAGTAAGTTTTTTACTGACATACAGTGTACATGCAGGCTGGTTTCACACATTTTATGTGTCGTACATGTACCGGTGCCTTTTACAAAGTACAATGAAACATAATATTGTTGTGGAAGAGGGTCAGGTATAAAGAGTGTTGCTTTGTGAAGTTTGAGAAAAACATTTCATGCTCCATTGAGGTTTTCCTTTTACTTTGCTGTTTTCTATGATGTCAGATGACGGATGCCAATCAGCGTTGGGATGTGTCTGAGGCTATTGATTGGATGAAGCAACTCACAGAATTCAAGCCTTTGTGGATAGAAGAGCCCACCAGTCCTGATGATGTTCTGGGACATGCTACCATTGCCAAGGTGAATTGTCACTCTCAGACTGCTTCACCACATTTACTTGTGTGAATTATACTAAGAAGATTTGCCTGCTGTATATTCCATTAGAACACTACCAGTACATGTACATGTATATAGGGTGCAGTACTGGGGGTAGAGTACTAGTATATTTGTGAGGCACAGTATATTACAGACATAGGGAAACTGCCTGTCTGATTGGTTATACCCCCCTGAAAAGTCAGAGGACTGGCAAGATTTTGGATAATGCAGGTCCTCTAGACCAGCAAGGTTTATGTGAAAAGACAATTCATAAAATGAATTAAATGAAAACATCGACTTACAGACTTGCACCATATATTAGGAGGACCTGCAGATTTCTTTTAGTACCCCGTACCTCCTAAGTTATATTGTAAAGAAGGGGAATCACTATAAGATAAAAAAATTGTGCTGCCTGTTAAGTTTTTTTATGAAAAAATTCAATATTGTGATAAAGAAAGGGAATGTTTACTCTTTCCACCCTAGGCTTTGAAGCCGTACAACATAGCCGTGGCCACAGGGGAGCACTGCCAGAACCGTGTTGTGTTCAAACAGTTGTTCCAGGCAGATTCCATTGCCTACTGCCAGATAGATGGGTGTAGACTGGGGGGTGTCAATGAAGTCCTCGCTGTGTTACTTATGGCAGCAAAATTAAATGGTAAGAATGTAGGATGTGTATAGTTATGTAAAACATTTTCATTTTTCTAGTAATTGTTGGTTCAGTGAAATACATTAAACCATGTGCTCATAGGACTATGTACAGATACACATATGGATGCACTGATGAATTTTGTGTTCTATACCTCCCTGAATCTTTATAGAGTGAATGATGGTCAAAAGTGGTTTTACTTCAGTCCCTGTTTGTCCTCATGCTGGAGGGGTTGGTCTCTGTCAAGTGAATCAGCATTTCTCATACTTTGACTACATCTGTGTTTCAAGGACTTTAGAAAACAGGTTTGTGAATTGTTTGCATACAATTGGAATCAAATGTTTTCTTACATCACTCACATGTGTTCACTAATTTACCTGTCGTTACATTAAACAGATAACAAAGACTGTGGGAAAAATAATGTAATATAATTTTTGTATCAGATTTCTAGAATATGCAGAGCATCTTCATGAGAATTACAAGTTCCCAGTTGAAGTGAAGGGAGGCCACTATGTTTTGCCACAGGTACTGTTACTTTATTTTATATCCAACAGTCTTCCTGTGTACAGATGTGTTTTGTCAGTCATCTAAATAAGTCATTCTTGGTTAAATATGTTTAATTATTTGCATTTCAAAGACCCCTCAAGTCAAAAAAGGAAGACACATGTCAAAACATAAGAAAGGAATGGTATTATTGAACTATTTTCAGATTCCAGGATTTCAGACAGAGATGAGAGAGGCCTCCCTGGACACCCATGAGTATCCCATTGGTCCTGTCTGGCAGAAACTGTTTGCTGAGGGCACATTTAAGCCACCAAAGAAACACTAAAATGCTGCCTCCTCTAGTTTTTTGGTTACAAGTACCAGTTCGACCTGTGCCTATATTTGTTTTAGTACATGTACATTTAAAGGAAGGTATCTGAATTGTTTACATTTGCCAGAATGTGGGTAAATACCTGTGTAGGCATTGTAAATTTTCACTATTTTAAACTGATTTTTTTTATTTTTGAAGGAAGCGTTTAATATTGAAGATAATTAAGTGCCATACATTTGTGAAATGATTACATTAATGGCTAAGGATGGATGCCTTATTACTTATTTAAAATGTGGAATTATATCATTTAGATATACATACTGTACTTCCATCTTTAAAACAAATCTTAGAAACTTAAGAAAGGGAGGTTTTAAAGAGAGAGATATGCAATTGAAACTGAAAACTCAATAGAGGCAAGAATGTTAAATGTGGAATATATTTTTATACACTTTAAGAGTGTGGTAAATTTTATATATTTTCATGATGAATGTAATAAATATAAAGAAGTTTTTGTCCTATAATGGTACCACCAGCTAATGTTTGGTCAGATTCCTTGGGCATCTACATCTACATCCATGTCCACATTAATTCACCTGATCTGTGGCAAATTTTTTAACTCTGTGTATTTTTATGCTTCAGCATTGGTGGCTGTTTTATGCATTTATTTTTAAATAATTAATATTTGATTAATATTAAAACATTAATTTGTGTCTTAGCCACTGTAAGACATGAAGAGTGGCATTTTAATCAAATATCTAGTCTTATGTTACATACATGTACCTATATACTGTACCAGTATAAGCCCTCCAAATCATGTTCAAATCACCCTTCTGATACATCTATTTCTACAACATGATAAATACAGTGCAATTGTTCATCTTTCAAGCACGTGCCAAACTGGTGGTATATACTCATGAGGCTCCCATCGGCACATTAACATCGAGTCAGTATTCATAAGCTATTGATTTACATATATACCTGGGTAAATTAAAAAATTTTAACAGTATATCAGAATAAAGTGAAGCACTATGTTCTATTGACCTGACAGAAAAGTTCAAGTACAAGTACCTGTATATCGAATGTGAACGGATCATGTTCTTGTTGCAGTTAATAGAAAATGAACCAAACTACTTGTCTGTTCAGAACAGAAATTAGATTGGAAAGTCAAAATGACTATCAGTATGTACACAGTGGCGGATTTGGGGGGGGTGGGGGGTCAGGGGGGTCCTGACCCCCCCTTCAATTTTTGAAAACTAATTATCCCCTCTTGAAATTAGAATTTGACCAACTGAATCATAGTTCTAAACCGTACCGAATGGCACCATTCACCCTCTAAAATACCAAAATTTTCCAGGGCATCTGTGGACCCCCCTTCAAAAAATCATGGATCTGCCCCTGGTACATCTGTGTATCGTGTACTTTACGTATTCAACTTGAGTTTATATGTACTGTATAACAAATGACCATCAAGATAGTTGAAAATTCATCTATTACACTGTTTTATTATAAATTTTATTAAATAAATCAATTGTCAGACAATTTTGTTTGCTACGTTTTTAAAGTCAGTCATCAAGAAACGATATGTCCTAAAAGTGGTTGAGCACAATATGGATAGAGTATGATCAAATGCTTCAAAAAATGAAATGCAGAGAAAGACTTTTAACAACTATAAACTGACAAAAAATGGCATTTGTCGGACCAGGGAATTGTATTGATACAATTCCCTGGTGGGACCCATCATGTGAATAATAATGGGTGCAATGCACTCTTACACGGGAAAAGGAAAGAGACAATATAAGAAAGAATATGGTTGGCAGAAAAATTATTGAGAAGCACAGAATGACACGGCATAGGAGGCGTTGGAGGGTAAACCGTTGTGGTCCTTAGGCGGTAAATTACAATAGTAAACGACTAATGAAAACTTGGTATTATTACTGAGAAAAACGTCAATTCCAATAGTCTTATCAATCGGAATTGAGGGGAACGGGAATCCCCGATTTCGTTTTGGTCATGTCAAACTTGAACTAAATGCAGGCCACTGTTATCTGATGACATCTGATGTGATACTCGAGCTGGTTCCTGTATGCATTGTGTAGTAAACCGGGAATGAAAACCCTTTTTTTTTTTTTTTTAGGGGGGGGGGGGGGGCGGGAGGGGGGCACGTGCCTATTATTTACCTCTTCAGGCTGATGTCAGGTATCCATCTGTCGCAGTGTGTGCCTTACATATTATAGTAAAATTGCCAACGTTTACTGTTGTGCTTTAAATCCTTATGCCACCCACTCCCAGCGAAATTCTAGATCCATCATGGACTTCGTTCCAGCTACAGTACTGTGCATGTAATTTTATCAAACGTCATAAATAATGTATGCAGTTATTTATTAACATAGACTACTAATGAAAAATTTTTATTATTACTGATAAAAATGTTGATTACAGTGAGCTTATCAAATCGGAATTCTTTTTATAATATTTTAGGTTATGACATGTAACGTTTGTCTTAAAATGAGTTAGATGACGCGCTTGATGTGAGAGGAACGGGAATTCCCAACCTCGTTTTGGTAATGTCTAAAGCAGACGAATCCACTTTCGTTAAAAGGGTCACTAGCTTTAAACGATATCCGTCTTTCTTAACAAATTAATTCACATACGAATAAAATATTGATGATATATGTACAGAAAATATAAGTGACAGCGAAAAACGCTGAACCCGAAAACAAAATACTCAATACACATCTGTATAAGTTTACAACGTGTGAACTATACTTTGGCTATCCCCTCAGCGGAACTTCGAAACTGAAAGTCGGTTTTTTATGAAACTGCAGGAAATATTTCCGTCTCACGAGGCCCTATATATTTACCGCAGCAGACACATATTTGGTGAAATAAGGGAATACGTCAACTCTAAGTCAGGATATATTATTCTTTAAAAAAAAAAGAGAGAATTGTACCTAGCTAGGTGTCAAAGATGCAGTTTACCGTCCGCATGGTTGGAGTCGGGGGTAACCCTTTCGAAGTTTCAGCAACAGAGGTTGGCGAGATTTTCAAGTTGTACTAGATATACCATTATATATAGATGGCTTAATATATATAAGTATTGTATTTTGTTCCCTTTTTGTATTACATGTATGATTAATGTTATTGTTTCAAGTTCAACGTTTTTGACGAGAAATTGAGTATTATGAGACGATTTCTTCGACAAGCTGACATAACTCGAGCGATTCATTCAAATGAAAGTGATTTTGAATATATGTGAAAAGTGTTCATTGTTATGTGGCAGAATGACAACTTCAGCTTATCGTTTACCTTGAAGCTTATATTTTCTTATCATCCTTCTCCTAATAGGAGTCCACGGTAGACACCCTTCTATTATCAGTAGCTGGTAGCTATGGAATACAGTCAGGTGTGATACAGCTTTTTTATTTAGGTAGGTATTATGTTTGACTTTTACCTTTAGTTGTCATGTAGTCTAGTCTCTGCACAAATTGGTTCTAGTACATTGCAGTTAGTACTAAGGAGTAGAGCGAGTCTGGAACTAGGCAGGACAATCAGTTGCAGACTCGGCCAAGACAGAAATGGTACATGAGGGATCATTCATTTTTTATCATCATTTTCACAACTCTACAAGACTTTATACACACACACACACACACACACACACACACACAGCTCTTCAGGTGGACAAGGTTAAAAGCTAAAATGATGACCTTTGACAGCAATTGTGATCAACGTTTTTGTTGTTTTTCAAAAGTGTACAGAGGGCATTAACCCCCCCCCCCCCCCAGCTTATGGTTTGTAGACTTGTAAAAATGATTAAAATGAATGACCCTACTAAACTTACAGTGAGGGGGGGGGGGTACAATGTATTTGGGAATAACATGTTTAGACTACAATATAGATTACATGAGAAGGAAAGTTCCAGATTATTTATGACCCGATGCTCTGACATTAATCTTTGACATATGAATTACCCCTTGTTGTTCCCGGTACAAGATAATACAGTGTATTTTTGAACCGATATATTGATTTTACCCAATTGCTGTTTTTGGTCACCTTACTTAGATAAAAAAAAAGGTGGCACTAAACAGGTTTTGTTTGCTGTGTAGCAGATAACCTCTCTTTCTGTGTACTGGTATATAGGGTGTTTTTGATATAAGGTTACCAACAGCTGTTGATCCACTTTATATTTTACGTTTCTCCTTTTTGTTCTTAGTCTAAGGTAAAATATGAACTACTGATTTCCACTCATTGTTAACTTTTATTCTCCCTGCCTACTGATTCTGAAGTAATATATTTAAATTAAAACAATAAAGTGAGGACAGTATTTTTCAAGAGGGAGCAGTTCTCAAAACCAGTTTTTATTCCTATTTGCCATATATGATTATAAAAAAATGTTATTACCTTAATATTTGCGGTCATTTTCTGTATCTTATCTTTTTTTATCTTATTTCTCATGCTTTTCACAGTGTGTGTGTGTGTGTGTGTGTGTGTGTGTGTGTGTGCGCGTTTTGGGGGGTTTGGAGGTGATTGGTATAGCCCCACAGCCTCCATTTGACCTCCTTGTCACATTTTTCACACTGCATTCATACAAATATGACACTTCAGACCTTAACACTTTTAGGGCAGCGTTTAGAGTGTGGACAGCGTCTTGGCGGGTATGGGATAGACTGTGACTGTAGCCTCCTGGCAGTGGTATCTGTTCAGGCGAATACAGGCGGTGGAGAATGGAATCTGTTCATCAAAGGACTGGATGGCAGAACTTCAACCATTTCCATAAGCAAGGTAACAGTGAAATTCATTTGACTATTATTCACTGCTCAATAGAATCAGATTAAATCGAAAAAACTCATTTCATATACCCTGTAATTCATTTCTTTCCTTTATTTATTTTAACAACTTTCTTGAAGCAAGACGGCTTATAAATATTTTCTAAAGCATATTGGAATTTCTTCATAAATGATAAAATTTATTTTGAAAGTTACCGAATTTACAAGAACGTGAAAAGCAACTATTTTCTGTCGTAGTCCTCATATAAAAGCTTGGGAGATATGCCAGTAGATGAACTCCTCATCAAGGCCAGTGCTGCCACGCAGATACCAAAAGATCAACAAAGACTGATATACGGGGGTAGGTGATTATGATTGTATTTACTATAAATTTATTTCACTTCACGGACACATTTTCTGTATCATATTGTAGGTTGAGAATAGTATATACCTAAAAGAAGCATTTTAATTTGTTTATATCGTACTTTGCATCCACATCATGTGATAAGATTAGCTTTTAATTAGTGATGTGTATTTCTTATTAATTGTCAACATGATAAATGTGACAGAACTAATTCTGGCTACAGGTAAACAGCTTCAGGAGGGAAGAGGACACACTTTATCCACGTACGGCATTCAGAACCGTTCAACGCTCCACCTGGTGATGCGCCTGCGCGGAGGTGGAATCGAAGGTGATGGGAGGACACCGTGCGGACATGTTCTTGGTAAGGTTTAGTATACAATGGAAGCGCATAAAGCCAATTTGTTAAAAATTCTTTCAATTAGCCTTTTGAGAATGCATGCTTGTTTTTAATTGCTTTTAAAGTTAACGAAACTTTTCTTTGATGTAGGTCCTGCCCACGTAAATACCTTTCGCCAGCAAGTGTCGTCTGGGCAAACTCTTCTGAGCTGCCCTTGCACCCACCCTACCACCCAACAGCAGTGCAAGCAACACCTACCCTACGATACTTGCGTTAAACGCCTCCCGTTCCTATCTAATGAAGACCGCCAGTTTTTAGAAATTGGAATTTCCAAGAACGCACTCGGCGGGCGTGCCAAGGAGTGTCCGTTGTGCAAGAGTGTGTGCGTGCGACGAAGCTCGCAAGATAGGTGTCTCCAATGCCCGGTGTGCACCGTCAAGACCAGGCGCTCTTATGAATTTTGCTGGGATTGCCTGCATGCGTGGAAAGGTGCCTCCAGCGAGAACTGTGGCAACCCGGACTGCTCCTCCTTGGAAGATCCCAGGCTGAAAACTCTCCGTGAGGCACCCCTGAAGACCATAGTAGGCGTGCCTAGTTGCCCCTCGTGGCGTGCGTGCCCATCCTGCAGCCGCCTCATTGAGCACGTGGACGCGTGCAAACACATGTCGTGTCCTTGTGGGGTCACTTTCTGCTTCATCTGTTTAAACGTGCCTGTAAACGGTCGCAGGGGGTGCGGCGCCCACAATGCCCAGTGTCCAGTGGCACCAATACAGACCGAGCTGAAAGGACGTTAGAACTCGAAATGTGGCTCTTGTTTTGCAGAATTCAACATAAACTAGTGTCAGAGCTCTTGTTTTAACTTTGTCCAAGAGGGATGGCAGTTTAAGTAGTAGGCCCTAAGCCGTGTTTTGATCAGGACATATGATGGAACTACTCCCCTAGTTTACTTTTATTGCATGCTTAATTTTGTTATATAGCACTTTAATCAGAAACTAAACCCGTGGTGCCACGATACCTAAAAGACAAAAGACGGTGATAAAATGACCTGTAAAACGAATGTGGATACAGTTTTCTGAATATGTTCGGGCATTGACAATCAGCATTAAGTCAAAAATATGAGAAGCTTCGTCAAAATATATCTAGGAAAGCATATACAGTGCATATCGCGGGGTTTTGGCCTTCTGGACCCCCCTGTACTTCATAGTTTTCGTGGATTTTGTTTTACTGTAGTTAAATCCGTCAATGCTACGGCATCTTTCTTTGTAATTTACTTTCTCTGTTTAATTATTAGAGTTATTTGGGTTGTACTGAACAGTGGCATGCTTATATTAGAACATCTTACATAGCTTTTTATAATTATAATTCGCCAGCCTGCTTCTACTTTTTTCTCTTGCGTAGGTTCACACTGGCCAGAAAAGAAATAGACAGTTTTCTATGCATTTTGGTCTTTTAGCTTTTTATATTATTAAGATTTAATTTGATTTGATTTTTTGCCCTTTCTTAGGCATACATAAATATTTTGCATCACAGAAAATCACGATGTGACCTTTGATATTTCTTTTTTGTTCAGTTGGTTTAGTTGTCAATAACATTCGAGCATTTATCGATTTGTATGCCTGAGTAGTTGTTTTAAACAAAGCGGGGGCTTTTATTGAATGTAGCCAAACTTCAATCGCGCGAACACGAACACTTAAACAAAATGTATTATCACTTTCCATCTGATAAATAAACAACAAAGAAAAGTGAAATGAATCGTTGAATCGATGAAATATTAGTATTTCTACAGCCGGGTTACCTAGTGGTTAGTTCAGTCGTTGACTCATATGATCGACAGCATTGGAATGTAATCAATAATGGATCATTAAATTGCCGCCATAGTACAAACAGATATCAATCATAAATGAAACTAGTAGTTTGGGAGTATTGATCGGTTTGTATGAGCGCAGACGACAGTCGGGTTCCTTCAGAAAACTGGGACAAGATGCCATGGACAGACGCTAAGCCAGTGGGCTGGGGAGGCGGGAGTTTCTGGTAAGCATCATAAGGCAGTAGAGAGCCTACTTGTCTCTTGGTCTGGCCGATAGAAATTACTTGGACATCCTCCCATTTTTCAAAGTTTACATCATACTGTGTCTTCCTGTCGTTTCAGGTTCGGTTTTATGTTAACAGAAGCTATGTTATCTTGTCGTTTGAAACTTATGACTCTATGATATACACTGTATTTCATTTGTCTTCAACGGAAAGCACGATAACCTTACTTACATTACTGTGTACGTCTTTGTCGAAAAGAACATGCAAACTTATTCCATTAGATAATGATCTCAATACATCCTACGTAATTGTTACTACGGAATTCGAAACAGTTTGTACTTAGGATGTCCTCTCTTACTCGTCAGTCAGCAACAAAATAAAAACCTTTTCTTAAGCCAAAAAGGCCGGGGAGTAACGCCGGAGAGCGTATTATCGCCGTAGTGTATTTTTGGTAAGGTTCTTTTGAATTAGCTATTGGAATAAACCGTTTGATACTGATTTCTAGCCCTAGGGAGACAGATTAAGGCGACTTTCCTCCTTTACAGTGTCTGTGGGCAGGACCATAGACTGGGATGGCTCCATGCGGTTAGAACTCAAATCACATGGTCTGCATACGTAGTTGGAAGAGGATTATGACTGTTTAGATAAAAAAAATTGTAAATATTTTTCCCTTTGTTCAAGCAGAACATTGCCATTATTTTTCATTGGACCAACGGTGGACAGAGAGACCTTGTTCTTGTTTTTAGATTTAAACTTGCCTGATAATGTATAATTATGTTGACTAAATTAACTCAATAGCCGGGTTATTATTCTGGCCACGTATAAAGAACTTTCGTCAAAGTCATAATATTTTGCGCGTCCCCTAACGTTCAACTATTCATCTAAAATCTAAATTAAAGAAATTTATACAATCTCGTTGAAAGCCTTTCTTTTTTCAAACGAATAGGTCAATAGTTGACCCGTGGTAGAGCACAGTCTCTTGAAAATAGGTACACCTCCATAAATTTTGTATTTTTTTTACCTTTGCAAATGCTTTACACGTGGTGAATGATTAAGACGGAACTATAATGGCTATGGAGATAGAAGATAAGATATTAACAAGCTGAGTTGCCAGACTCACTTGGCTTCCACCCGAAGTTTTAATTGCTTTTTAACCCGTTTTTGGATTTGGGGAGGAATCTCAACTGGTTTCGAGATATAGTCATACAAATTTTCTGTGATGGCTACGGAATATGCAATGAAGAAAAAAGTTTTCCAGAATTGCCACAACCCTTCCAGTGTCACAAACCTAATTTCATATTTTCGAACCATGCCTTTTAGTAAAATTTGAAGATACTACTTAGTAATCTTTTTTATAGCTACATCGTCTCCTAAGAATTACATAAATCGTTGCTAGATAACCGAGAAAACCTGAGAGTAGAAAATGACATTTTAAACCCCAAACGCTCCTTTTACGTCACCCGGGAAATAGTGGAACAGGAAAATTCGAAAAAAATAATTTGTGATTGATGTCTAATCATATTTATAAATCGCATCTCCCCAGTAACAGTTCTTAGTAAGTGATTACGTATGAAGATATTCACCACGCTGATCCCGGTGTTATATACGAGATGGTACTACTGGTAGTGCCCTGATAGTGATACAGTATACAGTACCGTTGATTGAATGATTTTTACAGATGGGCACTGTTCTAGCTTTTAATCCACTCCCGTTACGCTTGTCTTGACTTGTGTGAATCTAAAGGAGGGTGGATTCCGTTACATGGACCCTCAGTTTCTGTACACCGGGCGATGTGAAATCAAAGCGTACTTCTTTGGGCTGGTCTTAAAACTGATTTAGTCAAGTCGTTGCTGGGTGGGGTATTCTTAATTTTATGCGGAAAGCTCTATCAAAGAAAAGATTAAGAAATTTAAGATAAGCAATATCTTTATCAAAAGGTTAGCTTTGTTTTCTGGAGCATTTGCAGCGAAATATGTCTCTACCAACGCTGATCTTGGACAAAAGAAATATTCGTCCAAGCGCTGAGAATGGTCATCAAAGGAAAATCCAGAATTTTATTTTCATTTATATGACCTGCTTTAAAATTCATTTCGTGGCCAGCACGTAATTCAATTCTTCCAGGTGTTTTTTTTAAATACTAATACTACCATAATATTTTATAAAATAATATCTACTATATCATGAAGAATACATATCAGCATTAAAATGGCTGAGTCTAGTCCCCTTTAACTACAGGGAAAAGGCTAATGCCATTTTAACTCATCCTTCCATCTTATAAAACATTGGCCAGTAAAGGGAATACAGAATTCTGACCGTTGACCTCCTGTCTGTAATGGGTTTGTCACCAGGGACCACCTGCACGCCTATAATCAGTCACCATCACACGATAATATCGACGTCGTATTGTTTATAGAAACAATCGATTGGCGGCGCGGCGCTTTATAAAGCAATCACAAGTAAAAAACGAACAAGTGAAAGCTGCAGCAATAGGAAGTAGTTCTGATACTGTCAAGTTCTCTGTCTCAAATTTAGAGAACAAGAAGAATTTAACATGTGGTGGGTGCATGTAGTGATTGAAACTGTAAATGATTTAGCTTGGTAGTGACATATTTCTCTACACTCTTTCGTTTTCATATATCCTAGTGCTAAGTACAGGCATGAATTGTGTGGATTTATTTTGGTCGGGTGCTGATTTTTCAGTAATGCAGACACATAAGATTAGATAGCAGGTCTCTGTACTAAAATGTGACCATGACTCTCCGATACTCAAATATAGATATACATGTATCACAATGGTTCTCTAATATTCCCCAGGGAGACGAGTCGGTCTGTGTCCCGGGATCATCGTGCGGCAATATTCGGGGTAAGTTTCATATTGAAGTAGAACTTATTTACAATTCCTCTTGCAAAGAATTATTTTAAAACTAAAGAGCGCCGCTTGTGTTTTATTTAGAAGAGCTTTGTTTATGGTGTAAGTCTGAATATTACCGAAGGGGTGGTGATACTCGAACGACACTCTTCCCAACAGAATTCTGCCAAAATAATTCTCAGATCTAGTGCGCCGTAACTGATTGGTAGAGAAATTAATAAATAAAAAGAAAAAAGTTTAACTGTTGCTTTGAATAGATTATTATAATCATTATTGTAACGTATCAAATTTGTTTCTAGAGCACCAGTGGTCCTAGAGGGTTCTACGTCATACACCCCGACTGGACCTCAGAATCCTTGTACTTGAGCAAACCTCTATACACCGCCAGGAGTCGCAGCGCATGGGGGTGGGAGCGCCCCAAAACTCACAAAAATATCAACGGGGTGCAGAGCTACGTCATGCCAAAAACGCCAAGAGTGCCAAAGGAATCGCTAAGATCGACAAGAATGACGAAAGGGGACCTCGAATCTCTTCGTTCTTATTCAAGATGAAACTGAAAGTGTAAAAAGTGTGATTTGAATGAAAACAATGGAGGAAAACACGTTCTAAATGCATTAGTTGTTCTAGTGGTAAAGACGGACTAGTTGTTTGGGAAATGGGTTTGTTGCGCTCAGCTTATAAACTGAGATAAAACAAAAAAGATATGAACGTTATAATATGGACAGTTTGCTCAGTGTAACAAGATGATTTGCTCATATGTAACGCTTATAAACTGGTTACTGTGGTAATACAAGGTTCGTTGAACTTAAAGATAATTATGTCAGTTTTCCATGATCTCAAGAATGTACATTACAATAACAGGGTTTCAAAATGGAGGTCTTTGTGCTAGTGTTATTCCAGGTACCAGAGTTTGATTTTTAAAAAAGGAGTTCACTTACAGAAAGACATCACAATTATGCATCGTACCTGAAGCTTGGAAGCATAATGCACTGCATAATATACTGTGTGTATGTAAGGTCTAAGCCTGAAGGCACAAAAGGCAAGTTTTCGGTGAAGGTGAACTTGAGGCATGGCTTTGGTATATGAGGGTGAAGTACCAATCAAAATCAGTCTTGACTCAATTAAATTATCTTTGGACCGCAATTGCCCTTAAAGCATACATGTATACAGGCAGATGAGCTAAACCGAGAATTATAGTGCCCAAACAAATAAATAAACTAAATATGTTACATGGTATAACTCACAGCGTGGTATAACTTATATCTTATCATATCATATCATATCAAAGTCCTGCAATTTGGATTTGGTATTAATTCTTGTTGCTAAAAAATGATATCCTGTGCCTCTGAATTTCATTTTTTTTGTCTGTTGATATTAATGCAGCACAAGCGTCAATAACAATCACAACAACTTTTCAATCTGAATTTATTTATTTCAAATGTTTTGTGTACATTCAAATTCGAATAAAAAAAGGTTTCATTAAGGCGATATTGATACACAATGCTGTATTCCCCAAATTATTTCGAGCTTGATAACTATTTCTAGGAAGTACCCACCAACAAATACATGTCTTTTAACACCTATTACAGCTGAGCTTCTTGGGCACGGTATTTATGGACAGAATTAGGTCATAGGTGTATTTTCGGTAAACAAGCTCAATTTTACCTGGACGGTAGACTGGCTGCGGAGAGCCGCTCCAGGAAATACGTCAGCGAACTTTGGCAGATACCGATTCCACCCTTGGCGTTAGTACGTTCTTGAGGCATCCGGCATCCTAAACTACCAGTTCGTCACTTGATTGAATTTTTGAGTTGAGCCGAAATTGCCGATTTCCAGGAAGTCTGATCAACTTAAAGTGACCAAATTATTTTTGACTGCTACAAGTCAGTCGCTATGAGTTCGGTATCAGTGCAGCTGCAGCGAAATGACTTTCATGAGCCCTGGGGATTTCGTATGCAGGGCGGAAAGGATTTTCGTCTTCCACTGTCGGTGAAAAAGGTAAGTGATGCGAGGCTCATGGGGAAAAAAGGGTTCAATGCTATCTCCTTTCCATGTTAAGTGTTGTTTCGAAAAGAACTTTACCCGTAGATCTCCCTGTCCTTTGATACGACTTAATGTTTATTTCATCAATTATTTAACTTACAGTATTCTTGCCATACCTGCGATTTTGCCTTCAAATGGTTTTCAAGATTATCACATGCAAGGAGGTGCCAGTCTATAAGGTGCTGAGTAAGTTAATATTTTTTAAAAGAGCAAATTCCGGGTAAATACCTTCAGCACACGGCCATTACCTTGAGCGCGGCTGCCCCAAATTAAGAACTGATATGGATACACCTAACGCCAGGTGTTCAGACACAGCTGATCGACTTTCTTGCCCACAGTCGGGGGGTTCTTAACCTTTATGTAGTCATCGAGGTTCAAAAAGATCCGTGTGACAAATATATGCGTTTCTGGGCGTTTATATAGGGTATCGGTGTATATAGCACCTGGAAAGTGTTGATTGAACACTATGTGAATATACATAGTATACGTGCATGCAGACGTTGATAGCTTGCAGCAATATACCTCTTATGTTACACTTCGGCGGGGTTGTTTGTCATTGAATAAACTTATTGTGAAAGTTATAAGGCACTTGGTGGATGCTCCGGTTTGACCTCGCTTAATGAAAAAATAATGTCGGCCCGATGATGTACAGGTAAATATTTACACTAGAAGAGCGTTGTATCTGTTTTTCATAAACCGTGCCTATAAGACACAAATACGTGCTTTACGCTAACGTTGTGTTTTCTAACAAAAATATTAGATAATGTAACCACAGCGTAATCAGTGCTTTAGCCTCAAAGGTCGAGCGTTTACTAACAAGAATAACGTTTCCCAATTATGGTAAGACTACAGCGGGCTCAAATATCACAGTGTGGTAGAGGAGCAAATTTCTACACAATTTGGTAAATTACATCGTAAAATTCAGACTGAAGGAGGTTAATACATTTAGACATTACTTGAAAATTTTCCTTCGTGGAAATGCCAGTGGAATACTTGCCATCGGCATACCTGAGGCATTTGCAAAACACCCTTTTTCCTAATGATGCACTGAATATAAATAGCGCGCTGTTGTCTATATAAACACTGCCATACATCTTCACACAGTACTAAGAACATAAATATTTTCGATGGTTCAACATGGGCTCACCATAGCAACCGAATGCTTTAAGAAATGGATATTTCATTTAAGATATTGTAAGCGAACAATAACTGCCAAATACACTATTAAAGCGGATTTCGATTGCCTTTTCTTTACCTTTTCTATTTATCTAAAAACGTTTCTAGATAATTTAAAAATCAAAAGCTTCCACTGTGATCTGTGAGCTACATTAAAGGTTCAAACCTCTTTTATCATTAAGCATGGGAATGTTTCTAAAGGTTGGATCCGCCAACAAGTGTAAAAAGTACCGCTATACCCTCTTTACCATTTTAATATGGAGGGGCGCAGCTAGGCTGGAAAACATAGTACGGAGACAGGCCTTCATAACTCTTTGGCCTATATTTGCAATTCTAACAATTTCGCTTGAAACAATCTCAGAGAAACATGCGGTTAAATTTCATTTCAAATAAATAAATAAATAAAATACTTGGTAGTCATTTAAATATAATCTTTTCTCAAATATCATTAAAATAGGAAGGACGTATCTTCTGGCCCATCTATATCAGACTCGTGGTTTCGGTTCAGTTATGAACCCCCGCATCTATTCCTAATAATGACGGCGTTTCCTTTTTCCTCTAAATTGATGAAGGTTAAATGAGGTCGCACTAAGGTTGTGTCTAGTTTCAGGTGATGTTCGTCTTGAATCAAATCTGACATTTTAATTGACTCGGGTGTTATTTTTCCTGCTCTGATTTACGACGGCTCGCATTTCTAAACCGTTTTCGCTCCATTTTCACCTACGTAATGCAGATAATACAGTTTTTTTATCAAATGTGTATTATATTTAATACTTTTTTTTAGGTTGGAATCAACTCCCCCGCTGCCCGTGCCAGATTGGATGCCGGGGATGCCATCGTCTCAATCGCCGGGAAAGACACTAGGAACATGACACACATGCAAGCTCAACAGCTCATTAAGAATGCCGGAAACACCATCTCATTAACGTTACAAAAGTAAGCATTCATTAGTTCATGCTTCGTAGCTGTGCATTATAATTAGCGATAGCTGATAGTTAATGAAGGCAACACAGTGTGGCTCAGACCCTTCCCACACCCCCAACTTACGTCACAGATAACGAACGTTACGCAAATACTGAGAAATGTAGGTGTACGAAAAGAACTTGTTAAGGGCAGATATAGATCTTACAGAACTAAAATGAACGCTTTGGTCTACTGCTTTTTTTATATAGATCACAGTATTTAGGAATATTTTGTTGTATACAAAAACAATTTATATTTTAAAACTGGTTCACAAAATGCTTTCAGGGGAGCTTGCCAATCATTAGCCAAGGCCATGAAACCTACAGGTCCCGTCAAGTTCTCCGTCTCCAGGGCTCAAAACTACATGGCGTCCCCTGCTTACCAAGGCCCTACATCGCCGGGTTACTCGCCACAGCCACAACAGCAGCAGTATCAGTACCAACACTACCAGCAGCAACAATACCAGCAACCCCAGTACCAGCAACAGCCCCAATACCAACAATACCAACCACATCCCCAATACCAACAGGAATATTATGCAACCAGCTATTAGGATGGATACGCTGTTAGGGGGTAGTAGGCTCTTACCATTTTATATATCGGATAAACAAGCAGTTTAACGCGCAGGAGTGAAAATACAAAGTGCTAGAGTTGCACAGTTGGTGATTTTTTAAAAACTTTGTCTTACTTATCTCTATTGTACTTGAACTGACATCTCATAACGTGAGAATTTCAGAGCCTTTATACCATATTGTTTTACCTAGAGTTGTCTCAGAAGTGCAACAATAGAAGCCAAGGTACGCAAGATGGATTATCAAAACGGATTCCGTAGCTGGAAGGAACGCTTTATAAACATTTTTCTCTTTTAACGACATGACAGGAGGCAAGTGCTGAAGACGTCTGTGAAGTTTAAGTCCTTATTTTCATAGGGAAGGTAACACTTTCGAGTCCTTATATCAAGTGTGATACTTTGGATTGCTTTCTACAAGAATGTCTCTTTTAGTACTTCATTTTATCCATTTGTCTCTGGTTCAAAATATATAATGCTGGGAAAATGTGCAATGCTGATACGTAGCATCGTAATAAAACAACTACCATATAAACAGTATCAAAATATATCATTATTGTGACATTTATAAAGAACAAGAAAATCATTCAAGAAGTGTTCTGCTTTTGACAGGCATGTAACACATACATGTGTCTCAATTACATAGTGTTTAACAGTAAGAGAAAGATGTACTATTTAAAACAGTTTATCTTTCTGTCACCCTTAAGATATTTTTTCTTAGCTGTCAGCTAGCTTTCAGAATCTTAGGCTCTGGCTCTGCAATACTGTCCGAGTTTGTCCCTCCTTCTACATCTTCACTGCCTTCTTTTTCTGCAGCATCACCCTCCTTTTCCTTCCTTCTTCTTTGTTTGTTTCTTCTAGACTGTTTTTCCTTTTTTAAAGGCGTCTGTGCCAGTCTTTGTCGTTTTCTTTCCAAATAATCTTGCATATTGTCCTTTCTGTTTTTGTATGCTTTAAACAGTAACTGGAAGTTACTTTCCTGTCCAACAGATCCTGAAAACAAAATGTTTTTAAGAAAATTTTAATTGGCTCAGAGACTGTCATGGACATATGAATAATATCTTTGGGTAAGTAAACAGCCAAGTCAAATTCAGAGGAATTCATATTTTATATCACAGAAGAATGCCATAACTTTTTGCACACTAAAATCTTAAGATCAACATGGCAGGGAAAGCAGCAAGACAGAGTGAGGTAGAAAATGACTTTGCAACACGCAAAAAAATTTAAAAGGATAATTTTCAGAGTAGTACCCAAAGTAGAAGGAAGACAAAACAAAAGCATTTTATCTATTGATAAGGCAGGTAAAAATACAAAAGGAGGCAAAGACTGATAATAAATACCTGATTACAATTTTACAAGGAAAAGTATAATTACCTTTGAAAAAGTCCCAGTTTTTATTCACAGTTTCTGCTAATTCCATTGTCTTTTTATCTGAGGTCTGCAATGTGAAACATGAAATTAAATTTAAAATTTTACAAAAAAAATATAAAAGTGAAATCAAAAATTAATGAAACTGAAAATACTATTTAAACTCAAGCTTGATGATTGCATTCTCTTAACTTTTTCTCCCTTGCCTTCTTTATGAAGATAATGTCAATTATATAGAGTTTAACAAGAAAATTCTTGTAAGTCAACTGCCATGTTTCCTCAGCTGATATTTCACAATCTAAATGCTTGTGCTGCTTGGTTTAATTGAATCCCCCACCTATAACACTGGGTCTGGAAAACCCACAGTTGGGATTTACATTTACACACTAGCATTCTCACAAAGCATCAATATGTAAGACTTCATATGCACACTTTCAATACTTATACTTAAAGGTATACTATACATAACTGAAGATGCCCTCAAGTCATACTCTGATGACTTAATATCCTGCAAAGCTACTTATCTTTCCCAATTCAAACCTTAAAGAAAACAAATCCCTCACATTTAAGGACCTAAAATGTCAGGAAGACTGAAGTGGTCTAAATGAATCATGATCCTTTCAGAATGAGGTAATCTGATTGGAAATGGTGCAAAAACTGATCTAAGGGCAAGGACGGGTTGAGAAAAGATTTGTGAGTAGGAGAAAATTGCTGTAAGGGAAAAAAGGGATTGGCTTGAACAGTATAAGATACCTGCAAATTGGTCATCAAGTGTTCTCCAACACTGCCTACACTGGTTAACATACCATACAGGACCCATATCATCAAGTTAGAAAGGCTTTACATCTCACTCAGAATAGAGGAAACAACAATGCACACTGCAAGCTACAGAAATTGTCTTATTCTAATTAGAGTTAAATTACCTTTTCAACCTGAAAATCTTCTTGTTTGTAGGAGACAGAGTATGGAACTAGTGTATCTCCTTCCACTGGTTGTAAAACCCACAAGATATCACCTTGAAGCTGCATGTCCCATGGTGGTTGTGACAGCTGCATTGTGTTCACTTTCTCAACTACCACATTTCCAGCACTCCACACTACTTTGTAGAACAGGATTACAAGATAGCTGAAATAAACCAACAGAACTCAAAATAACATCTAAGAATATTTTCTAAAATAAACCACTGTTGTTTTTATTCTCATATAAGAATTAGAATAACCCAAACTTATTGTGTCAAATTTGCCTTTCATTTCATTTCATTTCATTTTTGTAATCTGATATCAACAGATAAGCGGTTTCATTTAAACACCAACATTTAAAAAAAGATGATAGCACTGAAGTTCCGTTTTCCTGGAATTAATTGAGGTTTCATCCAAGGCCACTTGAGAGGCTTACATTATACAGACACATTCTTCTGATAATTGGAGAGATATACACATGGCACTAAATCATATTCTATAACTGCGAATCTCTCTCATTATTTTTTCCCATGAAACGACTGGAATTTGCATCATTAAAAACCACAATGATGCAAATGCTGTTGTTCAAGTCACCTACAGTGCTCTTTGGCAAAGCTTGAGAAAGATTAAGCAGGTATGTCAGTGATGATCTGAGATATGTAAAGGGATAACTCTTAAAAGATCATTGCTACAGAGGTGTGACATTGAGGGAGGCTATAAGAGGACAGAGAAATGAAAGACAGGTGGGGGTGACAATGCCCATGCTTTTTTAACCATACACATCATTTTCCATGATATAATTTCACATTGAGTTTTTCCATAAATACAAATACAAACATTATAATTTGTAATTTGATAATTAAGTAATTTCTCTTTAGTACCACAAAGGACCTGACTATCAGTGTATAGGTGACCTAAAATGTATTTAATATTAACATCATGAACTGATCAAATCACCTTCAATTTCAGACCATATGCCCAAAACAGATGTTCTGTATTTCCTGTCAAAACGAAACCTAAATGCTCCTGCAGATCTTCTGCTATAGAATAGGAACCATAATAAACAGTCAATAGCATTGTTTAATGGCCTTGCCTATTGTCCACTTGAAAAGTTTACAGGTAAAATAAACTCAAGGTATTTTCTCATGATGGCTATTTAAATCAGGTGGCAATTAAGTCATGTTAATTCCACATGCCCCCTTGACCCCTGGTCACTTCAATGTCATTGTCCAAAGACGNTTCAAGTCACCTACAGTGCTCTTTGGCAAAGCTTGAGAAAGATTAAGCAGGTATGTCAGTGATGATCTGAGATATGTAAAGGGATAACTCTTAAAAGATCATTGCTACAGAGGTGTGACATTGAGGGAGGCTATAAGAGGACAGAGAAATGAAAGACAGGTGGGGGTGACAATGCCCATGCTTTTTTAACCATACACATCATTTTCCATGATATAATTTCACATTGAGTTTTTCCATAAATACAAATACAAACATTATAATTTGTAATTTGATAATTAAGTAATTTCTCTTTAGTACCACAAAGGACCTGACTATCAGTGTATAGGTGACCTAAAATGTATTTAATATTAACATCATGAACTGATCAAATCACCTTCAATTTCAGACCATATGCCCAAAACAGATGTTCTGTATTTCCTGTCAAAACGAAACCTAAATGCTCCTGCAGATCTTCTGCTATAGAATAGGAACCATAATAAACAGTCAATAGCATTGTTTAATGGCCTTGCCTATTGTCCACTTGAAAAGTTTACAGGTAAAATAAACTCAAGGTATTTTCTCATGATGGCTATTTAAATCAGGTGGCAATTAAGTCATGTTAATTCCACATGCCCCCTTGACCCCTGGTCACTTCAATGTCATTGTCCAAAGACGTCACCTAAGGTAATGGATTACTCAGGTACTCAGAGAGTGACCGCCTATTAATGACAGTCTACCAGCTCTGCCATAAGTGATAGCCATTGTAATCTGTGTGATTCATCATACAACACAATACAAACTACTTCCAAGCACACAACTAAGCATTTGAAAAACCTCCCTGGCTTTTATTCTGTACTTGTACACTACACATTGCGTTGGTACATTATACTAGGATAAAATGTGGATAACAGCTTTTTTTCCCTTTTTTTCGGATGCTTTTTTCTGCAAATGGTAATTTACACCTGGGAGGTAAGCTAAAAAGTGTCTGAATACTTGCTGTTCAAACATCATGCATTATATATACACAAAGTTGAAATGACAGCCTGACATTGAGATCAAATTACAAAATGATATATTTTATTCATCACAACAAACAATTCGGTAAAGGGGGATGGGATGGCAAAAATGCTTGGATAATAAAATTGGCCAGGAAATACTTCCCCAGTTAATCACATTATATATAATCATCTGTTTGTTTGAAAATATTGACAAAAAAACAACCTGTAAAATACATGAATGGGTTGATCTCAATGACAATCGATTTAGAGATCTTCATATAATGTTTTTAGTCCCAAATAACATTTTAAAATAAGATTTGATTATTCATTTATGAATGTAACATTTTTAAACACAATATTATATTATGACTCAATTAATTTTTTTCTTTTTGGTGGGAGGAGGAAAAGGAGGAAGAGAGAGAAAACACAATGTCATAATGTCCAGAACAGAATATGTATACTGGGCTTATAATTGCACCATAATATTAATAAAATCTTTAGAAAGATTTGCCAATGTCAACACTTGAGAACAGCC